ACAATCCTCCCGATGGTGGTAATTTATACAGAAAACAGCCTCTTTTGTCGTGGGATTGGGACAAGCAAAGAGGATAATTTTCTTATCAAACACACTATAAGTCATTTGAAACAGAAAGTTTTGTACTTAAGTTAACCGTTCCTCAGAGTAAAGCTGGGAATTGAAGAGTTACTAGTGCCCTGTGGGTGTTCGTTGAAGTCGGTAGGAGCCCAACCGGCAGCTCCGTGACACGAATTCAATCAACACACCATTTTGTTTCCTCCTTTCAGACAATTTTGGTTAGACTGCTCACAACTGTTATTCTACAGAGCAGTGTACGTACACATACATCTACGACAATCTAAACACGTTTACTTTACAGGCATTTTTAAACACAAGCTAACTGTCAAATATATGCTCCTTTTTAATATAAGGTGTTTTATATGTATTCATCAGTTAAAAAAGTCTTATATGTAGTTTAATCTGTATTTTTATTAAACAGAACTCAAATCAAGAAGTTCCCCACTTCTAGCTGCTTTATCTGCATGGTCTAAACACAGCAGGCTTGCTTCGTACGCACAAGCGTCATAAAGCTGTAAAAAGCTGACGCCACGAGGGCCGTTTTTTGCCAGCTGCCTTATTGAAATGAACTTGAGAGGAAAGTATTGATCCCGTTTCTGCACGGCAATGACACAACCGGGCTTCTTTAGAGGTGACTCCATCCAGACCCTCTTGTGTTATGCAGGTGACGTAGACAAGTCGCAGAGGATTCGACTGGTGTCAAGGAGCTATTTAAAATTAGAGCATGGCGGCGCAATTGATTTTGTTTATATTTAATGTGATTAAACACAGTGGAGAACATTTGCTGTTGCTGGAATCCCAATCACGGCTTTCACTGACGCACAGATGCACCGCAGGTTAGAGAAATGTCCTCAAGATAATATATGCCATTTGGCGATTGAATTTAACCAAAGTGTCTTACCAAGATTGAAGACATTTTAATAATGGGTTTTGCCGTGAGACCAACTGGGATATTGTTAGTGCCATGAGGCAAAACAGCTTCAAAGCAAGTAAACAGCTTTAAAGTTATAAAAACTGATTTTTCTTAAAAATCCTAGTATTGTCAAATATTTCAGGCACCCTTAAGTAATGTAAGGACTCCTCATATGTAATATAACTATAGTACATGAACCCACAGTCCAAACGGCTGCAATGCGAGGGCAAACAGTGTTCAGGAGGAAGGGACATTTAAATATTGTCACAAAAATAAGCAAATAAGCATCATTTTACTCAACACCTTTGGACAAACTCTTCCTGCTGCTTACTCTGTGTTATCAGATTATAACATGCCTATAATTCATGATGAAGTTGGAATTGCCTGCATGGATATTTGATGAAGCATTGTCACAGAAAAACTATACCAGAGATCCCACAATTATTTCGTCCTCGTGTGATTCCAGCTCTCTGAATCAAGATATCTGAGTCCGTATATACGAGTCCCTGATTAACACCACTGCTCGTGTAGTTTTGTTTTAACTGTCCCCAGTTAAATGAGGAATTAAGAGGCAAGAGATAGAGGCTAATAGCATTTATTAACCCAGCGTGAAGCGGGCAGCGGGGCGACGCTGCTCCTCCCCAGCTCTGTGTAGTCCTGGTGGCTCGGGGAGCGTTGCCCAGAGAGGGGAGTGGAACATAATAAAAAGCAACCATTGCACCCAGCTGATTAATGCAGCCCTGTGGCTATAGTAATTATCCCTCTCCACACTCCTCCAGCACACGAGCCAAACAAGTGTGTGGCAGCGACAGGGACATGTGCAAATGATGGATCTGTGGGATTCAGATTCTGTGTTTGTTGGATAAAGACACATATTTGTTTGTTCGGTCGAATCTGGAGAGTTTAAGCTTTTACACCTTTTTTAGAAGTTTAATCTCTACAGTATTTTGGCCCGGACTTCAACATCTGTGTAGAGTATGTTTGCTTTTTTAGTGAGGGCTCAAACATGTATTAGTAAATGAAAATATCATTTGTTTCTGTTTAAGTTAGAACACTTGTTCCCAATATGTTCATAAACAAACATAAAACATGAACAGCATATTAAAAACCGTATGAGTGAACCACAGAAAATAAGGTACATAAATATAGCAAAACAGTTTCATAGGTACAATTTCCTAAATGATGTCACCATGACCCCTGATAATACCTCTTGGTTTTGCTCAGATTTATATGCTATATTGCTACAATATACAATATATTGTACAATTCTTCCAAAAAACACAGAAACATTAACAGACTCTTAATACATATTAATATATATATTTGACCATGTTTCTACAATATATATTATTTCCAATGAAGCTGTGCACCTCATTTACTCAAATAGTGAATAAAGAAATAAATATAAGTGTCCAGAGCTAGTTTCTGGGCTTTCAGATTTAGACAAAATTAATATACATTTCGAAACATATCTGTTAATCTTTTTATTTTTCTCATTCTTTTAAGCGGAGCAGAAAACGTATAGTTTAAAACCAACAACTAATTATATTAAAATGATTCTAAATAAAACAACACTGACTAAGTAGAGTTTGAAGAATATGACATCTGGGGGTAGATTTCCCATTTCATTGATTTTTTTATTAGAATTTTTTTTTTTGACTGTCGTAATTTTATTAAAGCATTGTGAGGTCATGTGATCACTTACTTAAAACTACTTTTCTTTATTTGTTCTGTTGTAGTGTAGATGACACACACCTTTTGTCATGAGATTGTCCACAGTTAGGACGGGGTACACGGTGCTTCCTGCTGAGCGCTCGGCCGCACATACTGTACAGTGTCTGTTCGGAGAGGTCAGGAGGTCAAACATAAAAGACTAGTTTGCTCATGAATCAGGAATTTAATTACATGCTGCCCGTGTGACAGAGATATTGTCCCTCAACTCACCACAATATGTAATTACTATTTATTGACAGGTAATGATTGGTTCTTCTTCACTTTTTAAAAACAAGCTGCAGATCGCACCCAGACGGTTACATCTCAGCGTCTCTGATCTGCTTCTAGGATTGTTTTGTTGAGATTTAATGGGTTTTGTTCATAAATGCACACATTTTCAATTGTTCCAGCCTAATTTGAACTTAATAATTTAGCCATATTTCAGCATTACGAGGCACTGGAGGTGAGGAATAAATCACTGTTAATGAAAAACGGCAGATAAGCGCTAAACTTAGATAAACCGCTTCCTCAAAATGCACATTATTTCAGATCCCAGACTGGCTCTGATCTGCTTAAAGACACACACTCTTGGTCTCTGGAAGAAGCGGAAAATCTGTTTTGCTTAAATACAGACCTAATGATTGGATTACTGTTTCTTCGTTTGGCGATGGCGTGATAGTGGGATTACAGAATGAGCGCTCAATAGATTTCCTGTCAGATGCCATGAAGCCCGGTGTCCCCTCGCTGTGTAAGCTGGCGGAGAGGGAGGGAGGCAGATGAGCCTTGGACTGACAATATGGCCCACCTCAGAGAACTGGCAACACAAGAATGGAGCTGCAAAAATACATGCAGCGAATGTTTTAATTAATAGATTAAAAAAGCGCAATATTCCTTCGATAGAATGTGCATGAATAACCAAATACGCAGTTTAGCGCTATATAAAAATGTCATATAGCTGATATATTTCCATATGAACTCTTATTTAAATCTGTGTATCGACATTTCCTCATTTATTGTTTTTATTAAATCAACTTCCCCAGTATTCAAACCTTAATGTGAAATCATACATGTCAACTAAACATTAGTGTCTTTCCCTTTCCATCCTCCCTCTCGGCCTCATTAAAAACATAAACATATCTCCTCTATTGATTATGTCTGGATGTCTTAATCAGATCAGTGGGAAATCCAGGTTTTCCTCCGTAGGAAAGTACATTAAATGCCAAAATATTGATCAAAAAAGTAATTGAGAATGCACAACTCCTTTTATCAAAGCAATCAGCCTTTGCTCCTGTGACTTTGATATGGACTGACATGAAAAGAAAAACGTTCAAAATTATAATTCCTTTTTATTTAAAAGACTGTTGGGAAACAGAGTCTGTCCCGGGGCTTCTGGCGACACAGCAACGCTGTGATCAATAAGAGCATGTGATGGGTTTTGTATCGATCAGGAAAATGTGGGTTGATGAAGTGGGTTGGAGGGGAAGAAGGGGGAGGGGGCTTTGGGTTTCCTCTGATGGTTGCCACATTACACAGACGTGGTAAAGATCCACTCAAAGTTGTCTGTCGTCGTCATCGTTATTATCATTCCTGCCGAGGTCATTATCACTCTCAGTTTCTTACATCCTGCCTCTTTCAGGAGTGGCAGACCCCCTCTCACCACAGTGTGTGATTGGTGAAATGCTGTGGGAAGCAGCTGCCATTACTTCAAAGGGGGGCCAGGCTGTGGAGAGCCAGATCCACGGTGGAGAGGATGAAAGGGTAAAGGGAACAGTTTAGCTCCGTAAGCTGGCACTGAGCCTTTCTAAAGCACAGTAAACAGACCTGTTCAAACCTTCTTCAGTGAACATGCTGCTACTTCTGCTGCTTGTCAATTACTGCTGTCCACTTCACTTTACTTCAGAAGCACCAACATCAAAGCACAGCTCATACAAACCTCTCTGTATCTATATATATTCACATCCACTGTTTATCTATATCTATCAGGGGGGGCTATGCTTGTGTTTTGCAGGGCTCCCTTGTGAATGACTGGACACCTACTGGCCACTCTTTAGCCCCTCCCGTCTCAGTAATCTCTCCTCCTCATTGGATGCTCTCAGGACAGCCCTCCCAAAAGAGACCAATGGCAGCTGCTCCATATGCTGTGACCACTCCCCCCTGCTCTTAAAGAGCCCCCATGACTTCAATGGAGACTCAATCCCCTCACTGACTTCCTCAGCCTGAGTCGCTCTCTCCACTGCTGCTCTCCATCCATCTGTGTCTGCCTTTTATTCTCTCTTTCTCTCTCCATCACTCCCCTGGTCTTCCTTCTTTCTTCTCTTCTCTACACTTCTTTCATCTCTTCCTCAGTGTTTTCCTCCTCTCTATAACCCTCTCTACTCACGTACTCCTGAGTGCAGCACCTGTGCAGACTGGAGTTTGTCGGGCCGAAGCAGAAGGCTTTTTTTTGTATTTGTGTGAGTCGAAGAGGGGAGGGAGGGGAGACAACACCCAGGAACACCTGACCAACATTTCATCAAGATATGTGGAGACTTAGGAACTGATCTCCTCCTCCAGCTTTTCTTTAGGTGTGTGTTTATCTGTTTTTTAATTGCAACACCTGGAATGCTTAACCTGGACTGATGGATGTTTCTGAACTGTGCATCCCTGACGCTCTCTGCTACCACAACCAGTAGGTGCATCTTTTTATCCCACTTCCTATCCCCTGTTTCATCTCTATTGTTGTTTCCATTTCACAGGACAGAATTTAATTCACTTCTTACTCTCTATTTGTATCAAAAAGGAGAGAAAGATATCAGGATAACATGGGTGTAAATCATTAGTGAAACTGATAAAGTAAACTATTTAAAAACCAGAGTTCTGTATTGTCTCAGCGCCTCATGTACGGGACAGCAGAGCTCAGAGTCAGTGAGGCAGCGGTATTGAAGCCCGCGGGGAGTCCGGCTCGGACCCCTGCCCTACAGCTGTCCAGCTCTGCATCAGGATCCAGGGTTTAACCTCAGCTGCAGGGGAGAGCCAGAGGCTGATTAATGCGGGCGATATCCAGGCGATATCCTCTGGAAGCAGCCGGTGTGCCAGGGAAAGAAAACTGTGACTGTACTGTCGCCCAGTCTGAGAGAGAGAGAGTGTTCCTGAGAGACAGATAAGAGTGTATCTGTTGAGGCTAAAAGACAGCGTGGATCACTTTTCTGTTTGTGTTTTACTTAATTTTACTATTTACATGTATGATGAATTCATAAGAGGAATTTCCTTTTATGTAAATACAATGTTTGTAACTATATCTAAATATCAGTTCTCAGTTTAACTCAAAGCTCAAATGGAGCCCCAGCTCTCTGTCGTTGCTGAACTCTTCATGCCTGGAAAGACGCTCTTCTTTCGAGCAAATCTGACCTGATGGTGAGCCCCTTTACCCGGATCCTCTTAATGTTAAGCTGTACTGTAGATGGGATGGGGGGGTTTATCCTGCTTAGCACTTTGTACAGGACTGTGATTAGGATTATTTCAAACTCCTCACAAGGCTTTCTACGAATGAAAAAATCGAAGAGAATTCTGTAGTGTTAAACCAACACCTTTAAAAGTGAAATAACATCAGCCTGTAATTGTTGAACAGTGTAAATTATTTTTTAAAGTTTTGCATTCAAATGTAAGTCATTTTGCACACGAAATGGAAAGTAATAAAGTTAAGGATTGACAATTCAAAGTCTTCAACAGTGAAGATGTTTTGCAGTATACAAAATGTAAAGTGAATTATAGGAAGAACATAAGTTTAATTTATTAATACAATCAAATTCATTTCACTAATTTTTCTGTGGACATACCGAGTGTAATGTTTAACCCCAAATGAGTTTGTCAGATGTTTTGTTATCTCAACTAGTAACAGACGTAGGTTTCATTTATTTTAATGTGTTTAAATATATTAGTTTTGTTTTTAAAGCCTTTGACATTCGCTATTGTAATTCCTTTGCATATTGCAGTAGGTTGGGAAAAGAAACACTACCCTTGAGCTTTATCACGTTTTCAGAATCTGTAAATTGCATTTATTTCACAGCCATTCAAAAAACACATAAAAATTGAAATTTGAATTGTAATATGTGTGTGTGTGTGTGTGTGTGTGTGTGTGTGTGTGTGTGTGTGTGTGTGTGTGTGTGTGTGTGTGTGTGTGTGTGTGGGTGTGGTGTGTGTGTTGTAGGAATGTATGTCTCTGTGCATCTACACGTATTCATTTTTGTCTGATTATGTGAATATTTTAAAGCTTTCAGATTTCCTCCTCTGAAAACTGCAGGATCGTTTGTTCACAATTTATTAATCAGTCACGAATACTGACATTCTACAAACTCTGCTCTCTATGAAAACTGAAATTCTCCTGCAACTAATGCATTTTCTAGATATTCTAAAAGTTAGATTACTTCTATGTTGCCATGTTGGTTAGATTATTTTGAAAAGTAAAACATATTAAAGCATTTAAATAAAAGAGCATTTCTATAAACTGAAGGAATCATCCCTATTCAAGTAGCAGACTGAATAAAGTTCAATATGTGATATAAAGTACAGATTCTAAACATGTCTCTACCTAAGTATTGATAACCTTACTGTCCAACTTTCAGACTAATTGTCGCTCAGTTATTTGCAGTAAATCTGCGTTTGGTGTGACATAAAGCTGTGCTTAGTAAGGTCTGTCTTCAGGCAATGCTATTAATAATTTGGCCTGATGACCGAGCTCCTGGCCAGAGGTGAGAGGCCCAACGTCTGTTGAGTCTAACTCTCACGACACGTCTCTGCAAACAGGCTCCAACTAACTAACCAACTAACTTATCAGGCATCTCACATTAATATTTTATAAGCGTAAATATAAGCGGCCATATATCTGTATTAATTGTTTTCACCGTTTTCAAGGATTACATTATAATAAAAAATGCAAAAAAATATTTCACAAACTAAATATATTGTTAAGAAGACCATATTGTTATTTCTTGAAAAATAATTGCAAATTTGTATGTAACTAAAATCTAAATAACATTTAGCTTCACAGTCAATTACTAAGGTCCACAAAACTGATTGACATGATTTGGGGATTTGGTGAGAGAAAACATTATTAATTTGATATAATAAATAGCTGTATTAATGGCACATATGCCTATTCATAAACACATGATATAATGTTTAATATTTAATATGAAACACATTATTTTACTATTATTTAACACATTTCTGATTGTAAAAGGTAAACCTCTGTGATTAGCTGTGGTTTGAGTAGGATTAACCGTGGCATTGTTCACACTCAAAGTGTTTCTCTTCAGTTTGCTCTAATAAATCAAATCCATTTCTCCCTCTCGTTCCACCTGCTGTCCGCATAGTTGCCCTTCAGAAGCAAACCAACAGGAATGCATAAGCACAAGCGGTCATATGTATGCACGCGCACACAAACACACACACACACACACACACACAGCAGGACACAATCATAGCGACACACACACATACGGATGAGACCAAAGAATCACACACTGACCTGGGATCTAATTTTAGCGGTGCCATATTGAAAACACCTGACTGTGTCTGTTAAGAGGAACACATCTTATCCTGCGTTGCATCTGGATTTATTACACTAGTTATGCACATGGTCATGTTGCGTTTATAATTTAACGGTTGCATCAATCAGTGTCATTAATATCAACAACAAAAAAAGATTAAAAGTCCATAGGCCAATGATTTGTCTTTTCAAAACTTGACAACACAATTTCTTCTTTATAAAGAAGAGATAACATGTTAAATATTATGATATGTAATATTTAACAGACTTTATGTATCTATGCGTCATATTAAACATTAAAAAAAGAACATAAATAAAAGAGAAATGTTTGTCCTTATTAAATTAAGGCAGAATATTTAGATCCTTAGCAGTTTAAGTACATTTTCTGAATATGATTTCGGACATGTAGTGTACTATTTCTTATTGTGTTGCGCCAAGGTTGAGAGTTTTAACTGGGAAATTGTATTAAAAGCATTTAAGTATACATCAGAAATAGTCAACAACAACAAAATATGAATTAATACTTATGTAACTTGTGAGGGCCAGTGTATTACTCTGTTGGCTATTCCCTGCACTTGTTCTGCAACACATGGAAACAGCCGTCACTGGACTTTGAGTAAGACGTCCAAGGTTATTTTTCAGTACCAACATTAAAACCTCTCTTTGGCTTTTACTGGTGAATGGAGGGAGCAGGTGGGGCTGTGTTGTGTGTGAGTAAAAATGCTTTGCCCCTCCAAATATTATTTACCACGATCTTTGAGTTTCCATGAAGAAGTCCAGGAGAAATGACCAGAGATAAAAACAATACAAAAGTGTTTTAGCCGGGCGTGTGTATTAATGGCTGCTGCATACGATCCCAGCTCTGTGTGACTGCATGACAGGAGAAATAACTTCATTACATGTCATGACCCCCCTCTTGATATAGATATATCCTTTAGGCAGCCTGTCAAGGACTCTGAATACATCAGGATGTAGATGGCCCTTTTTTTTTGCAGCCGCTATTCAATCAAAACATGAAAGTGGCTCTCGTGTCCTCAGGCTAAAGGCAAGCAGCAGCAGAGAGGACTTCTTAGAGTGAGTTTGTTTTATTGATGAAATGAAATTAACACACACACACACACACCCAGAAGAAGAAGCAGTGCGTCTAATCATGGAGTGTGGGTCAGCCGGCATGTTTAATTTAATGGGCCTCATTGTAGCTTCACGAGGTCTCACATTGTGAACTTAATTCCTCTTCACCACGTTAATTTGCATTGTGTCAATTGACCGGAGCGCTTACTGTATCAGCTTGAGTCTCACTTGAAATTCAGCCCGTGCTCTAATACCATTAGGCAAATGCAAAGTTGTGTCATTTACACATTTGGAAAAAAAAAGAGAGGGGGAGAGAGAGAGAGAGAAAAGCCAATCTGCGCCGGACAAGACTCGCTTGTGATTATCAGTGGATGTTATTACTGTGGAGAAGCAGACGTTTGAAGGTTATGTTTCTGGGCAGTAATTGAAATGCAAAATAACATTAGGATCGATGGCCATCTCTGTTTATTTATGAAATCAATATCGTAACTGTCCCTCATGAGTCCCCCTCTGATTCTCAATGACGGCTTAAGTCTCTGCTCGTTTATTCTTTCTCCCCCACAACCTCCTTCTTCTGTCTCTTTTTAAAAGGCAGTTAGGGGTGTGTTTGACTTTGCAGGGAGAGCAATTTCCTGGAGGTGGTGGACGTGTATGTAGATGGGGGTTGATACTCCAGGTAAGGAGACATCATCCATGTGGGAAATCTATGCAATCTCTCTTCGTGGCAGTGACATTGAAGAGGCCATATGCTGAAAGTTCTGTGTACGAGTGTGAGTGAGTGTGTGTCTGAGTGTGTGTGTGTGTGTGTGTGTGTGTGTGTGTGTGTGTGTGTGTGTGTGTGTGTGTGTGTGTGTGTGTGTGTGTGTGTGTGTGACAGAGAGAGAGAAACAAAGCATATCTGCCATGCAGTGCAAACATCGTAACTAAAGATTTTTTAGATTGAAGTAAAAATGGTCTAATACAATTTTCAAACATTTTATTAAGAGCGATGAAATTTAGTTTCCAAACTCGCAACACAAATCTGTTGTAAATAAATCCACTTTCTTTTTCTCTTTCTGCCAGTGGTCTTTGTCAGCCATGGTGCTTGATCAGATAGCTAAGCAAGTGCGTAAACAATTGTTACCTCAAAATCTTTCGCAACAAACTCATTTTAGCATTAAATTAGAGCTGACGCTATGTTCGTCAATAATATATTTAAAGCAATGATGTCTGGCATTCACTGGTTCTGGATTCTCAATTTGTGTTATATCTTCCTAATTTTCTATAATAATAAATGTGTTATATTTGAGTTTCAGACAAAACAAGCCTTATTAAAACAAACCCATTGTCTTTGAGAACTTGTGACATTTTATTATTTCTGTCAAAATAATTGTAATTATTATTCAGTGATGAGTGGTATTTGATTTACCCGCCTTGAATGCATATTAAAACATAATATACATTCAGCCTTACAAAATAATTAAGCATAAATAAACTACAATATATGCTAAAGACACAACCGTTCACAAAGGGGTGAGATATTAAGACAAATAAAAAAAGGAGAATGTATGGACGCAACAAATCAAACGTGCACAGCTTGCAGATTTTAATAAACATGGCTGTTGGGGGTGTAACAACTAACCCTAAAGTAATGCTTTAAAAATATATCTTGACAAATGTCTTTGCTCTATAAACTGACATTATTTGCAGTGGCGCATAAATGCATTTACATTTTAGAGCACACAAATTTTTTGATGACCTTCATTTGTGCCAGCGCTATCACGCACATGTTGTTGTTACTACTTAACACTTGGGCGACACGCTACCCCATTTTCCCGCTCCCATGACCATTCATTTCCCAGACATCCCGGCTGCGGACTAACAGTGTAATCTATGTGTCAGGCAGGAAGGGGCACTCAGTTTAAAGCTGATAGAGTTTGCCCCAAACAAGGACAGCCTATCATAGAAAGATTAATGAACTAATTTCATGCATGGCTCCTTGCCTCTGTCCTTCTGCGCTTCCGTGTTCGACTGTGTGTTCAGCACCGTGATTTACGCTGTATTCGCTGCTACAAGCTTAACCCCAAGCTTAACAATAATATTTCCCCTCTGTGGGAAAATACATAGTAAAATATGGAGAGTCACAGTTTTAACCCTTCACTAGTCCAGCCAAGGATAGCATGAGGTCATTGTGGAGAATTGCTCTGAATATCATTTTTCTTTGACTGCCTGTAAAATTTAATCGCGCAGAAATTCAGTAGGCTGGAAAAAATATTTCATGGTTTAAAGAAGAGGTGGATGGATTTATGTAGGGAAGAAGGGGATCTGTAATACTGCCAGCACAAAGAGGCATGCCAAAATACACAAACACATTATGATAACATTGAGATTTTAAACTGCTCTGATGGGACATTTTCACACCCACACTTTGATTCTCAAATAAAATGTATAAAAACAACTGGGCACTGATTTGTGCGTGTTCAGACAGAGTCTCAGTCATATTAAACACTATGGACAGCTTTCTAGTTTTTACAGTCGTGTCCAGACGTTTTTACTTTCAGTGTGGTGGACAGACAGAACCTGTGTCTGGCGGCCATTGTGGGTCCGTCTGGGCCTCTAACAGCAGAGCAGAGGAGGCAGGTGACCTTCACGTCTGTCTGATGGGTCCTGCTTGTCTGCTCAGTTTGTACAATTTTTCTGCGCGGCGGAGCAAACACTACCCCATCAGATATTAGGTGCAATGCGTGTTTGGGTGAGAGTGTGTGTGTGAGTTGCCAAGAGAGCGGGGCGGGTTGAGGAGAGCCAGGCTGCGCTTAGGAAACTGTCTCGCTTTATAATAAGAGGAAAAAAAACAAATTATGAAACTATGAAGCTATTTCTGTCTGCACGGATTGGTGGTTTGTGCCATTATTTCATTTCGACAGATTTGAAAGGACCCATTAGAAATTTCCATTAAACCTAACAAAAAAACATCTCCCCAGCGTTACTGTGTGCTAAGTGGGGAATGAACTACTTTTTACATATGCCACAATGTACTATTCCATAGGGAATCCCCCTATCGGGCTGCGATGATGTATTAACTGTTACCATGCCGCGCTCTCCAATTCCCTCAGATGGGAGAATATATACCTTCCAATTGACTATAGGTGCATGCTGATTGCTTACAAGATTTAACGGTAGCCCTGTGAATCTTTTATAAACCGCAATAGCCTCAGAATGAAGACTAACATAATATTGTATCGCTCCATCTCGCACTATGTTAACAGTCCTGACTGATTAAAAATGCATAAGGAATGTCTGGGACCCGTAAGAGGAGGGTTTATTTTTTCATGCCTCATCTGGAACAGGAAGGAAGCAGAGGATCGATAGATCTGATCTGGGCCCAGGGGTGGAGGCTATCTCCTCCTCCTCCCTCCAGCCGCTACCCGCTCGCAGTTAAAAGAGAGGTTTCATGTTGTCGGGGCCTGATGACTTCATGGCTTTTTATAAACACTTGTGCAAAGAGTCAACAATTGGGAAAATGCACTCCATACAAAGACACATTTGCCGCCCTGGCAGCACAAAGGCAACAACTTCAGAGGAATCTGGTGAGCATTAGCTTCCTGTTAGTTTCAGACATTCTTAACATGGCTTTTCAATGTTTTCACCCAATGTTTACAACTCTCAAGCATGTAGGGCTCAAGTTGTGTGAAGTCAGCAGCAACTCTGACGGACAGAGCCAGCTGTTCTTAAACACATCCAGGCCTCATGTCACGCTTTGTTTAAGAGGTCGAGGCTACTGTAGTAGCAATGGTGCTTAAAGTACAAACACATAGGCTACAGAGGCTATACCGCCTTGAAGAAAAATTATAGTCTGACAAAAACAACAGTAGCAATTTCTGTTATTCATTGTGTCCTGAGCCCTGCCCGCATGTTTATAAGACAACATTTGTCAGATAGTACCTTATTTCTTACACAAGTTTACATGGAAACTAGGAGCGCAGACCTCTGCCAACGCCATGTCCTATCCTTCAATGTTAATCAAAGTAAAGAATCATTTTTGTATCCGACCCGTGATTTCAGATTCTCCTCAAAAGCTTTTATTTTAAAGCTCATATTAAACAAAAATCTGGCGAGTAGTTTTTCCGTAATCTTGCTTACAATCAAACCAAACTGAAAACCAAAACCCTTTTTCTGAGGTTACTAAACTATTTCAGTTCTACAAATAAAATCGGCAATGAAAAAATACACCTCAAGTTTCAGAGCAATACATGCAGCATTGCAAAATGCCTGCAGGATCCTTTTGTTTTTGATAATATTTGGTAATTATCAGGCAACAGTTGCTCTTTGTCTGTGATTTGTACAGAAGTATATACGTAAAATGTTCTACTAACTGCCTTTTCCCAAATGTTATAATGAAATGTGGGATCGGGGAACTCAATCCCAGGTCAGAGCCTCTCCAACCTCTCACTTAAGTCCACCGTAACCCGGCACCGTCCTTTGGCAAACTAACCGGGACTATTGATTGGGTCATATATTACCCATGATCCTCCATATGCTGAGTGTAACACCTCTCTCTGTCCATTAACAGCCTTCTGAAGTTTCATTCATTCATTTGCTTCTGGCAGCCGACCAATTGTGGGCATTGTTTTCAAGATGTATTGGGCATCTGTTGACATGGTCATTAGTTACCATTTTGCCTGAGAGAAATAAGCTGCTGTAGTATATCACTTGGCATTCCAACACATAAATGGTTGTGTCTGTAACACAATCTATCAAACTCAGACAGACCGGCGTGCTCCATCACAGCTGACGAATCTCTCAGTGAATGATCAGGTGATGATGGAAGAAGGCGACTTGTTAGTGGTGATAATGTACATTTACTTTAATATAAGATTCATTGTGGCTCAAGAAAATCTGTGCTTATTCATGTGGAGTAAACAGGCTCCATCTCCATATCACTGATGTTGGTTAACTTAATTAAAACATAATGGGATAATACAGAATTTGATATTTCAAATAATGTTTGATATCATCCAATAACTGTTTGGCCAATTCCTGAATTTGCATCCCAGTTTTGACAAAATTATCTGTTGATTTAGTTACCAAAACTGACCACAGCTATCGTCTTGTGTGTTTCATCCAGGTTGTTGAACAGAATGCCCTCTGAGGACAGACACCTATCATCCAGCTGTGGGTCTTACGTCAAAACCGAGCCATCAAGTCCTTCCTCCTCGCTCGTAGACACCGGCAGTCACCACAGTCCCAGCGGAAACTCAGACGCCAGTGGCGGCTACATAAACGGCAGACACACGCACGCCCTCGACTCTCCGCCAATGTTCAACCCAGGCATGTTGGGAGGTGGCGCCGCCTGCCTACGCCGCTACGAGGAGTGCGCCGGCGTGGTGGACGACTCGCCGATCAAGTGCGAGTACATGCTCAATACCATCCCTAAGAGGCTGTGCCTGGTGTGTGGTGACATTGGCTCGGGGTACCACTACGGGGTGGCCTCCTGTGAGGCCTGCAAAGCCTTCTTCAAAAGGACGATACAAGGTATTTCCCACTTCTTCTTCTACTGGCTGACCTGGGCTCTTTAATGTCTGTACGCTCCCAGTTTAACCTTAGAATAAGCAGTTTTCTGTAATTTCCCAGGTGGTTGAATATTCTGCAAGAAAGTGTTTGCCTTTCAACCCAGGTGTACTATAACACCTGTGTGCTATTTTTCACAATAGTTCTACATATTAGCTTTATCACAACAGTTGGGATTCAGCAGAGAACATATTGACCCGATGAATCTATTGTTATGTGTTCCTCTCAGTGCTGCTATCCAACCGTCTGCTCTTATGGGACTAATATGATGTAGTGATTATGAGAGCCTGCAGCAGACATTAGGCCCAGACTGTAAATCTGCTCGGGGTTGTGATGTTTTGATGCGTTTGCATGTGAAACGTACGTCTGGCATAGACTCTGCCATGTGTGGGAGCTGATCCAGAATAATCATTTGGACAGAGATAATATTTTGCAAACTGAGAGGCAGATTTAGATTTGAGTTTTATCTGCAGGATTTGTTGTCTATTGACATCGAGCTGGACAGGAGGCTATTGAGGCTACATCAAGAGGTCAAGTTATTCTTTTCAAACCCTTCTAAATTACTTAAGCAAAGGGAAAAAAATTGTTTGCTTCCCTTTTCAATTTTATTTGTGATTTGCAACAATCTTTATAGTGAATTTCTGCCGACCCAAGGAAAGCAATGTACAGTAGCATAGCTTGTTACTTTACTCTCTGTGATAACTTTTCGTGTCACACTTGTCCTTCAGATATCTTCCTGTTTCTTCTATTACGCTAAACGACTGACTGTTAAAAAGGCCAAATCTGAAACTAAATGGTTTGTATTTTTGCGGAAAAATATAAAAATGCTGGTGATAAGACGTGTTGTAAGATGTGTGACCAGTCGAACTGATTAGGAATCACTTAGAAAAGTGGAGGCGACAAAAAAACGCTTTTTATTATATGTTTATAAAGGGTTGACAAACAGACTTTTATAAAACATATTGGTGGGACAAACTCATATGAATATTTAAAAAGACAGATAAAACACATATATTGTTCTGACCCTAACTCTGGCAGTTTAGCCTTAACTGGTTGAATGTGTCTGATCAGCAACACAGTGGAGGACTGTAGATAGTGTGTGTGCGTGCCTTTGTGACTTCTTGCAACGATCCCCCCCCTCTTCTTCTTCTTCGCGCTCTCCTTCATGGAGGACAGGCCCATAATGAACCTAATCTGTCCGTCCTTCGTCCTGAGCCGCGGGAGTTTCAGTCAATAACAATCAGTGTTGGGTGACTGTAATTAAGAGCCAGGCATTTCATTGGGAGAAAGTCGAGGAAAGTGGGTGGGGGGTGTGGATCTGTTCTTTGCCCCCGGGCCCCTCCAGCCCACACCCAAAGGGGAGGAGATGGGGGGGGGGCAATTAGAAGCGCAGGCACGTGTTATCGGGGGCAATAACAGAGGAAGGGGAGAGGGGAGAGAGACGCTGCCGAGAAGTCCTCCAAATAAAAGGCAGAGGGACAAGGGACAGGGGACGTGGTCATTCACTGAAAGCAGAAGCCTCTTTAATGGAATGGTAATCAGGATGGGGGGTCCCGGCCCCGGTAAAGGAGGAGGACAAGGAGAGGTCCAGCCTGAGTGGAGATGAGTGCGTGGATAATAGCATGGCATAATAATATATCAAAATTTAGAGGGAAAATAAGAGAGGTTAAGGAAGGATATTAGAGTGGCTGAAATGTCCTTTGAGAAATAAAGGTGGACACAAGACCTGATTAACTAAGAGGGTATGCCGACAGTGAGCTTTTAGAGGTAGGCAATTTGAGACTATTGTGGATACCTAATGCAAAGCCCCCCCCCTCTCATACACACATAATCATGAACACACACAGGTTATTTGTTGATCCATTTAGGTATAAAATGTTTCCTTTACTAATGGACACTACCTTTTTCTGTCCCATTGTGTAAAAATCTATATACTAGATGCATGTAACACTCAGTGGACATTAAGTAAACTTCTGTATATATTCAAGAAGGACTGATACTACTGTATACTTTTAAATTGTTAAATCAGCACTATTTAATAGTTCATTAACATTGAGGTTTCAGATATTGATCGATGGACATCACTTAGCACATAAAAGTCACGTTTTTTTTGCTAAAACCAAAGAAAATACATTAGTTACACCCTAATTATCTTTAAACTAACCCTATACAGTACTTACTCTACAGGGATTATCATAGTGCTGTTTTGCAGTACATGACATTCACTTATTTAGTATATGAGAAATACTAATTGTCTTTTACTGACATTTTTAGGCATACTTTTGATTGTAACTCATTTAAATGCTGTCACTCAAACCTGTTAAGAATTAGTCGTAGTACAACATTTAAAAGATATAATTTAAACCACAACTTTTAGTACTAAATTGTGAAGTATTCAAATTGTTGTATTCTCACCACACAAACAGTTTAATACGCCAATAAGCACACATGCTGTATAAATGTTTATAGTGTATAATTACACACAGCACTGCACTGTCCCCTCTCTATATCTATACTGTATTTTCCCTGTGCCTACGCCTCTCAGTCTAAAAGGCTTTACCCTGAACCAGCCTCTGCCAACGGGCTGGCACGCTGCCCCGGGCCCCTCACTGTGCATGTGACCCTGCTGGCACTCTTGATGCCAGGGATCCTGACAAATGTTGGCACCTTCTTCTTGACCAACCGGGGAGTGTGTGTGAGTCAGTGTTTGTGTGTGAGGGGCAGCTCTGGCAGACCTGCAGCAGATAACACCTGGTTTGCTGTTTTTAGGTACCATTAATACATCTCTGGGTTTAGGGGACATTGTTTAAACACTCAATCAAGGGATTTGGATACTTGGGAAAGAGGATTTGTCATTGGATTCTTGAGGTCACGTTCACTTTTTAGTTGGGTGCGTAATGATCCTGAAAAAAATGGTTAACCGGAACCTGGTGAGAAAAGCAGGCAGCGGTTACATGGCAGCAGGTTCAATATGTCTGCGTTTCTGCCTTTTTTTGGGCCTGAGTGATTAAATTGCATAGGAAATATTTCCATAGTGAGACAACAAACGTCGAGACAGACTTGAATAATACATTGAGCTTTGCTACAGGATATGGGAGCCTTAGATTGGCGAGTCTAACAGCATCTCTTTGCTGGAGAGCATTATGCAGAAGCTGCGTCCATCTCTTAGCCCTTGTGTTGTGGAGGGAGGGCAGCTTTCCCATCATCCTTTGGGTGAAGAGGGATGGGCTGCAAGGGGTCGTGGTGAGCGTTGCGGAGAGGACGCTCTGCCTTAATGAAGCTAATTTATCTGAGAATCAAAATGGGGGTGGGACTCCGGGGCGGGGAGGTGCTTTTTACATGTCCCATCAAAATGCCACTAAACCCTCCTCTCCCTCAGGAGTGTCACATGAGGTCACCTTGGGACAGGTGTGTGTGTGTGTGTGTGTGTGTGTGTGTGTGTGTGTGTGTGTGTGTGTGTGTGTGTGTGTGTGTGTGTGTGTGTGTGTGTGTGTGTGTGTGTGTGTGTGTGTTGGGTCTTGATTTTCTATGTAGTCATTCTAAAAATGTATCCTTACTGCTGATGTGCATGTGTTCTGCTCATATTATTAACTAAACGTTTTTTTGTATTTTCTTACAGGGAATATTGAGTACAGCTGTCCGGCCACCAACGAATGTGAGATCACCAAAAGGAGACGCAAGTCGTGCCAGGCCTGCCGCTTCATGAAATGTCTTAAAGTTGGCATGTTGAAAGAGGGTGAGTAAAGATATTATTACCTGGTCATTTTGTTTGTTTGTTTGTTTGTTTTCTTCACAAGAGATATGTGGCCAAAATCATTTGTTTAATAATGTGCATGCAGTAATGCACTCTGCAACCTAAAATGTCAAAACATTGAAAAAATCATCGAGTTCCAGCTTTAAAAAAAAAAGTGAATCATCTTCGCTTTTCTCTTTGTAATATTATATAATTTAAACAACAATTTTTAACAATTCACTGTGGGTATTAGGTATTTTTTACCATTTTGAGAATTGTTCAAATGAATGAATGAATAACTCAAATAATTGTAAGCCGCAGCCCTGTTGAGACTTAAGCCTTAAACACTTAATACAAAATAATAATGACTGAAAGTAGCACCTAAAAGGCAAAGAATATTGTTTTCAAGAAGACATTTTAATAACCAATCTTTAGATTTCTATGTTTTAATAATAATTCAGCTCCTTTTATGGAACAATAATAACATTTGTGAATTTGGAGAAAAAATACATTTAGATGCCGTGAAGGTTTCATGACCAAGCTTTATAGAAGTGTGTTTTGTGGCTTACTGTATAAAGAGTTTCTAAATAAATATTTGAACCTAAAAGCTAACAATCAAAGGCATATTGGTGGGTTGATTCTGTGGATTGGAATGACAGCTTTAGGACTAAATATCAACATTTTGGTCAGACCGTTGTCCCGTCCCAGTGAATCTGAAACCCCCCACAGTCTCACAGGGGTCTAAAATAAGAGTCAGTGATCAGATAAGAAAGATGGCTGCGGCCTCGGGGAGACACCAGTGACATCACCCACAACTCACCTCTCCTCACACCGCAGAGCCTGGCTGTGTTTAATTCCGACGGGTTGAGAAAGCTGCTGAGTTGGATGTTCTTACCGGGACTGAGAAGTGTAACAGTACTCTTGAAAAGCACAGGCTGTTCCCCAAAGACTTCCCTCTCCCCTGGGCTCTGGGTATCTCTCCGCCTCACCCTCTCTCTCCCTTTCTGTCTGTCTGCCTCCCTTCCCCTCTCTTGCCTGGCATATTGATCCACTAAATGCTTTCCGAACATCCCAGCTCACTTCCTGCATGTGTTGTTTCTCCTCCAGAGAGAGACCTTTGGGAGTACAGAGGGAAAATCTAGCCGATAGATTTTCTTTTTTTCTCCAAGAAGAGAGGTTTTTTAGTCTGTTTGTTTTTTGCAGAAGGGCTATTCTACACGGATGCATAGAGTCTAGCTGTAGTTTATTTTGAGAGTATTATAATACCTGGTGCTGAATTGAGACTTCCCGGTACACCTTTTTAGACAGAGTTTTATGGAGGTAATTCTTAAAAATGCAGACGAAAATGCGACCCCTTTTTATTTAGGATTTGTCTTCCAACAAATATGTTAAAAATAAGCTTTCACAGACGGTCAACAATTTTGTACAAATTAATTGTTTTGCTTTGTTACAAACACCAGAGACAGAATAGTCAGTTGTGCCCACATAATTACAAAACAAAAAATAAATTGTTGATCTTCAGATAGATTATTATTAAATGATCATAATATTGTAATCAGTTAAAATATATATTTCCATTCGCTGTGATGGATTGGTTCTGTGTTACAAGTCAATATAATGTTTTATAACCCCTTGTATTGCAGAAAAAGGTTGTTTGGTTTTTTAAATAAAATATTTTATTCACACTTTGTGATTATGGCAATTTTACTATAAAGCACTAATGCCGGTGTTTAGTACAAGCAAGGGAGAATTATAATGTATTTTTTCACTTCCCACAGACTCAGACTTTGTAAATCAATGCTGTAGATTCACCTAACCAGTACACAGTTAATAGTGCAATGAACTAATGATGGCGTAGTGTGTGTGTTTTTATTACCTAACATTACATCCCTCAACAACCATCATGAGACCACTTACTTAAAAGTTGTATCCGAGTTTAAACACAGATTAAAGCAGGTTAAGTTCTGGACTTTAGCCCACTGCCATCTGCAATTATAGTATAAGATAAATCCTAATATGAAATGGAGTGTTTAAAGAATGTGTTTATAGACTCATCTTAGGGACATAAGTCGTAAACGTCCTAAAATAAACCTGGGTAACACAGTCTTGCTGTGTTCTGCCAGCACCAAACACAGCTCCTGATAGAAGCCATCAGCAGTTAACATGGTAACACCAGATCGTATGTCAGGCTTTTGGTTCACTTCCACTAATACAGCTCTGATGTAGCTGTGGTTCTTCATCTCACAATGAAGGGTCAGCCATTGTATTGCCATAACAACGCTATTTTTACATGCGCCCACTCTTGATGTCTTCATCCCGGTACAAATATCTCACACCGAGGCTTTGACTCTCAGCCAGAATAAACAGCGTTGCTTCAGAAATAAAGCTGAAGCTATTAGCGCATGCTTAGAGGAAAAACGGTGGGGTATTGTCTGTGGCGATCCGAGCTAAGCCGTTGATGTGGACAGTCAGTGTGTGTGTGTGTGTGTGTGTGTGTGTGTGTGTGTGTGTGTGTGTGTGTGTGTGTGTGTGTGTGTGTGTGTGTGTGTGTGTGTGTGTGTGTGTGTGTGTGTGTGTGTGTGTGTGTGTGTGTGTGTGTGTGTGTGTGTGTGTGTGTGTAGTAGTAGTAGTAGTACGTACGTAGTAGTATATATATAGTAGTAGTAGTTGGTGTGTAGTGTAGTGTGTGTAGTGTGTGTAGTGTAGTGTGTAGTGTGTGTGTGTAGTGTGTAGTGTGTGTGTGTGTGTAGTAGTACGTAGTACGTGTAGT